GAAAACTGCTGCCTGCCTTGTTCTTATTCTGAATGTGCAAGAGAGATGTATTCATGAATATAATAGGCAATCATCTTTCCTTTACATTACTTCCTATTCCTTATAAAAAAGTAAGAGAGTGAAGGAAAAGGACCTGGTCTAATTTAGTAGGCTTGAGATAATGGTAAAACAGTATACAGGCTGTAGTTTCGTGCTGTCTATGTCTTTGCCATATCCTGTTCAATTGTGCCAGATATATTGGGTTATACATCATGTTATAGCTAATATTTTTGTAGCACTGATTCGTTTAGATGTTCACTTTCAGAAATGTGTTAGTACTGTTGTCTGATTGTAATATGGGTGAAATACAAATGCAATTTAAATTAAGCACAGTTACCAGTAAGTAATCTTACGGGTCCTTTAAGTCATACCTGCACTGTACCTCTTGATGATCAGTATTTCTTCTGATTCCCCTACTTAAAAAGAATTCCATGAACAAAGGGATATATTCTGTCTGCCTGCATCAAACCAAAAATTCATTCTCCTTCATTTCATTTTTGTTTTGTAATTTTGAAGTGTATAGAAGAAGAATATAGAATTTTCTTAGCTTTTATGTGACCATTATGTGACTCCTATTTAGGAAAGAAAGGAAAGCAGTATTATGAATGAGTGATGAAAAGTTATAAGGCAGTATGCATTTTTAAGCAAGAATTAAACTCCTTGTTCTATAATAATGTGCGATAATTTTATTTAATAATTTTGTTTAATAATTTTATTTAAATAATATTATTCAACTAAATATTTTTAGTTAAATACTTAGTCTTGTGATTGAAAGATCCTGGTTTTAGATTTGGTGATTGCATGGAAAAACAAAAAGTAATGTCTCACCCTCCCTGCCCTAAAAAAGAAATTGTTTTATGTACTTAAAGTTATCTGTAGGAATTTAACAGTTATCGTGCTGGATGTGATTATGAAAAAAATACCTGAAAATAACATAGTAAGCTAGATGGACCGGTCAAGACTCACTATATGATCCCAAAGGCTATAAATTCAATTCTGTTTAATACTACTAGATAGATGCTTAGGTACAATGAAAAAACAACTTCAAATATCATCCCTCTAGCCCATTTTTTCTTCTAAACTGCAACTTTTCTGCTTTCTTTTATTTTGTAATAAATTGCATTGCTTTCTAGAAAGTAGAGCTTAAATTAAAATTGCCTTGAACTCTTGATGTTCAAGTCTTTACTAAATATGTGTATTAATTTATTTTTAAAGCAAAATACTACGAGAGAGAAACTAACAGGTTTTTGAATTGAGAGCTACTTAAAATAGTGGAAGATGTGTTTTTAAACATGTATTCTCAGCAGGTTTAAATTGAGTCAATTTTTACAGAGTGTGCTAGATCACATCTTTTAAGAAAGAAACGAAAAGCACTGTGTGACAGAATTTATGGCACTGAGTGTGTTCATGAGCACAAAATCATTTATCTACAATTTCATTTAAAGTTGTCTAGACTGAGCCCTGTGGCTGTCTATCAGTGTATCTTTACCAACCAGAGCTGTAGAAACTGCTCTAGGTTATTAAGAATTAGTCATTTATCTCTCACTACAGTTCCTCTGAAACTGTAGGAGAGGAATGAGTGCTTGCAGATCAAAAATTAAGGAACAGAATCATGTCCAGTCATGGAAAGAGGACTTTCTGAGCATTTTGAGTGTGCAAAATTAAGCTCTTAAATTAAAAGGGAGGCTGAAAGGCTACTAGTAGGCTACAGTGTATGCTATGTCCAAACTGGCATAAGATATGCTCCTGTTGAGCTTAAACATAGGTATATTCAGTGTAGACAACTGAGGACTTTGAGCTTGAGGACAGACTTCTTTTTTGATACTGTCAATATAGATTTTGATTCATAGGTCTTGGACAAATTTGTGTTGTATTGAACATTCCAGAACCGTGTAGGCTGAAAATATTAGAGATGAGTAAAGAGGTCATATCAGAAATTTTAGGATAAATGCCAATAGAGATCAGAAAATGAGAAGAGTGAGTGCCTGTTATGAACTATGAGGGAAATCAATTTTCAAAATTTCAACTGGGTACTGAACTGCTTTTTTAAGCTTTTATTCTTGATTGAGCTAGAATGTTGTTCATTTACATTAGTAAGAGCATAGTCAGTTAATCAACAAAAGTGGTTATTCCATAATAGCGTTCTTTAGATCATATGTAAATTCTATTATCAGCTGTAGGCCTTATAATGCATGAATAAACTTGAACGGGGGTCACCAATATGGTCAGGGTCTGGAGCAGAGGATGTGTTAACAGAAGGTTGGGGAGCAGAACTTATACAGCCTGATGAACTTCTGTTAGGCAGGTGGAGTTCTTGTAAGATGGACCTTCTTATAAGAGAATCTAATAATTTTTTATGGAGTTACGCTCTTTCCAAACCTGCACAATACTTCATACTTTGAAACCAGGGAATTTTCAACATGGCATAAGAAGAAAAACAAAAAACAAAAAACAAACAACA